GCCGAGCCGAGCCGTCACTACTTTTTCGGTTATTGTCTTTTTCTTCTTTTCTCTGGTTCATGTTGTCTTTGCCCTTTTTTGGTAGAAAATTCTACCCGAAAAACCATATTTTTCTAGTGGCTTTTAGGATGTGGTTAGGGATGTCAAACGGGCCGAGGGACTCGTCGGCTCAGTCAATCAATTTGTCAAAACTCGGCTCGTGAGCTACTTGAACTCGTCAGGGCTCAATCCAACGAGCCGAGCAGGCTCAGCTCGTTGGGCACGCGGCCCACGAGCTCTTCAAAAAATATGAATCTTTTTTTAAAAAAATGTTCAAAATGTGCAAATTTACCAAAAATAAAAAATAAAAAAACCACGAGCTCGCCCCCGAGCAACGAGCCGAGCTCAGCTCGTCTTTCACTAGCCACGAGCTTGGCTCGTCACGAGCCCGAGCCGAGCTCATGGGTTAAAGGGCCGAGTCGAGCCATTGCCATCACTAGATGTGGTATAACATGGTTAATGTACCGTTTCCCATAGAGCGTAAATTCGTTGACCCCAAAAAATGTTGCCAACAAAATTCCTGCCACGTCCCCTCTACGTGAATGCCATCTGCAAAAGGAACATTTCGTTAGGAGGCAAAGACCGCCAGTCGAAAAAAAGATCCGACAACCATTTGCACTTCGATGGTCAAGTCAACGATCGGACAAAATATATATATAGATTGCAAGAGTCGAGAGAGAGGGTTTGGCCAGGGTTTAGAAATCATACTAGGAAATGAAATGCATTCTCATATATATAGAAAATGGAGACGGCCTGTGGGCTTGGTTAGCTAATGGGCCTCGTCCAAGCCACGTCCAATAGATAAGCCCAATATGAAATGATTTATGTAGAACTTGGACTTGAACATTAGTGTGAATAATATCAAGTGACCCACGATTCATAACATTACAATTATGAAAAGGAAAATTAGGTCAACTACCTCAAAAAATAAGATATTTGATTAATACTCTTAAACTTAATTAAAACTATAAATCACATAGTAATTACGTCCAAATTCAAACCCCCAAATCCAGAGCAGATTGTAGAAAGCTCTAAAGGAGATAATGATTTATTCCACTCTATGCTTCACCATGACTTCCTCCATAACTCTTCATTTGTCTAGCTCCACCACTCTGATGTCACACAATCAAACAATATTAACCCAAAATCAAACCACCATAAAACTCCACTTCCTTCCAATACCGCCACAACAGCCTCCTTCGTTGCGTAGCTGCATTTTTCTCCTCCTCCTACAATGGCCACCTCTTCTTCATTATCAATAGAAGTTCTCGACCACTTCGCGTGCCGTCCAACTCACCGGTTGTATAAATTTGACAATAAATGATAAACTCGAAAGTGCTTGTAGTGAAGTGGTGGATGAAGAAAAGCAAAATGCTAGTAAACAAGTGATGAGACCGTAGCAGATCCACGAAATAGAGCAAAAAACGATAATGGGAGAATAACAAGATTTTTCGAATTCTTGATGAAATTGATACTTACAAGACTAATTTCTACGTTCTGGGCATGTTTCATTATTTCAGGCCCCTTTTCTCTCAAATGTTTTGAGTATGTGTGCAACAAATTGAAAATGGAAATTTAATTGATGAGCAAAATTTAATTGGGAAGGAAGATAGTAGTTGCTTGAGAATGGTGAAGGCGAGGGCTTTAAGAGACAGTGTATGTACAACAAATTGAAAAAGGAAATTTGATTGTTCAGCAAATTTGAACTAGGAAGGAAGATAGTAGTTGATTGAGAATTGTGAAGGCGATGGTGCTTGGGAATGGTGAAGGCGAGGCTTTAAGAGACAAATTATAAGATAAAAGGTTGAACTCCAACCTTGAGGGCTCTCACCGTCCTATCCCTAGAGTTTTGTGAAGGAAGTAAATCGCGGAATGTGTCACAGCAGGCCAAGGAACAAGAGCTGTCTGTACACTGAGCCTACAAGGAGTTCAATTTCATGTCTCGAAAATCAAACCCCCACACTGCAACTGCTAGCAAGACGTGAAATAACATCACTCATGTCCTTTACACTACTGGGCTATGCTCCGAGGGGCAACAAATTATAAGATAGCTCAAACAAATTGTGTATTTCATGTCTCAACGGATAAAGAATAGTCATTTTATACATAGCATACAAATAATGCAATTTAGACTCTCTTAAATATCATTTGCTACTTTTTGAGTTTTATTACTTTTTGAATTTTTATAATTTGTTTTTAGTTCTTGTCACTTTTTCGAATTTCATCACTTCCAATATATTCTTCAATGTGAAAGTGGGGTATCCTCTTTTTATACGAATAGATATTGATTATGTCACTTCCAATCAATTTTTAGAGTGTCACTTTTTTTAAGGTATATATATGTGTGTGTGTGTGCGCGCGCGCGTCACTTTTTTGAGTTTGTGTCACTTTTTTTTTGGGTTGTCAAATTTTGAGTATTTGTGTCACTTCTTTTTAATTTCGTCACTTTGAGTTTGTGTCACTTTTTTCACACAACGTGAAAAGGTGACACATTTTTTATAAAAAAGTGATATAGTGTCACTTTTGAATTTTACACAATATGTTTTACTTTCAAAAAACTTTTATATGATTTTTTAAAACACCTTTAATTTTAAGGGTATTTTTGTAAGTTGTCCATGAAAGAATTGACAGATGTTTGATTAGATTTACAAAGTTCAGAGACGAAAATTATGTTATTTTTCATCGAAAAATTAGAATTAGGGGGTAAGGATGGAGAACCAAAGTGAAAAAATTTGTAAACTTGAATCATCACCAAACTGCATGGAGAGTAAGCTAACTGAACTTGATTGACACAGACATGGATAGTGTGTCTTGCTCACAGTTCTCCAAAGAGGACAACACTCTCCCGAGTGGATGATTTTCTTGTAGGCTAGACCAAGGCCTCTTATGCAGTGGTCAGCAAGGGTCTTGAACTTGACGAGAAAATCTGCAACTGATTGTGTACCACTTGATATGTTGTAAATTCTGCTGGCCGTGTAGATGTAGTCCAGGCCGAGTGCTTCAGTTCCGGATCAGGTGCACTAATGTCATCTGGCTTGAGCACATGGTCCTAAATTGATTTACAATTGAGTTATGTGTACAATCGGGATTGACAACCCCGGTTGACAATTAGACACATGTGAGGGGGCCCATACTGAATAAAAAATTCTTGGATCCCCCCTCCTGTGAGTATATTGTCAATCAAGATTGTCAACCTCGATTGTACAAAAAGAATAATTCATTGACTTATTACACTTCATAGTCTAATCCAATGTTTTCATTGACATCACGTCAACCCGATCATATGTGGCTTTGGCCTCCTCGAAAGTAGCAAAGTTTCTTGTTTGTAAGGTGTCGTAGAATAGTTTGTTGTGATAAATCAGTCTGGATAAATAGATGTGATAACCCTAAAAGCTTGAAATTATCCAATTGGTTCGGGTTGATAACCCGTATTTGCAATTGAAACGGGTCAACAATTTTAGTACGATCAGAAATTTCTTGAAATAACTTGAACGAATTGTGATCACGGACTCCATTGCGGACCGTGACAATCAGCTGTGTAAAATTCCCTTGTTGATGCCAAGTTTTCCGTCGTCAAAGAGCTTCACCAACAACCGAATTTTCCAATGGACTTTTCAATGATATTTTCACGAGTTAATATATGCATATTATTTATTCATGATTGTTACACAGATATTTTTTCATTTGGTAATTTAAAGATGGAAATTTCAATAGTGAATTCAATTGATAATGGTGCCAAATTATAATTGAGGGATGTTTCCGTCCTTGATTCGTCATCAATGTCAGGAGATGTTGCCGACCAATCTTCTGCCCACTATGGACAAGAGGTGTGTTCTTTCCATTCTATTGCTAATTCATTAAAAAAAAATTCACTGGTAATGCCTCCAAACAAAATTTCTTTGCTTGTAAGTTGGAACGTTATTTGTCGAATAAATTGTGCTGACATTATTTGTTTCATTTATTAAATATTAGAAGTTACTCAAAATCGAAAGTCACTTGAAAAATCAAGCATATACTTATTGGAAAAATCAGACATGTTGCTTTTTCTCACTTGAAAAGAAAATTACTTATTTTGCATGCGATTATAATGCTGGGGAGGGAGAGTCAAACAAAAAATATGGTGTTGCTTGGCACTTCAGTGTACGGTTTTCCCGTAGACGCACAAGAATTGAACTGGCCCTATAGCCCCAGGATGACAAAAACGAGTGAATTGCTTTGAACTACAGTCATTTTCAATGGAAGATATTACACAATTACTTGTTATACTAAACTGCATGGACGAGCGCTTGAATAACACTACCAAGCTATTTCCTGGGAATCCTTAACGAAGGGGGCTAAGGTCCTTTTCTGGGCAAATAACTACAACCAGAAGGTAATTTTTACCGAGCACAATTTCTGGCAAAGATGGAACAATGGATAGATAAATGAGTGTGAAAATAAACTGTACTTGTATACCAGTTTCCATTATCATTCTTTTTTGAAGACAGAACGAAGCAGCAACAAAAGGTTCTCCGAGGTTTTACAGGTTTTTTCAAGAAGGAATAGCACGGGAACTCCTAGAAAAATATTGCTTTGGAGGGCAAAGGGAAAAAAGAAAGCAATCTATATCCAAATGTCAACTAAAGCTGACACTTCAGGTGAATGTCCATTAGCATTGAGTCTGTTATTTAGAGGATCAAGTAATCTTGGCACAAAAATTCCAATATGGCAAACAATGAAAAGGAAAAAATAAATTTGAACATCAAGCTGTTATTAGAACTCGCCAGAAAATGGCTACTTAGCAATAAACTCAAGACTCAATGAGGGGAAAAAATCAAGAATTGCACCAGAGAAAATCCCAAATGCAGTTTTTTAAGATATCATGAAGGCAGGGAAACCAAAAACCAAATATGAGAATTTTTGATAAACTGAACACAGTCATTTGACAAAATCTAACAAACGTACATAATTTGAGCATGGAAACCTCAGAATACAATTCCAATTATCCTTGACTAATTAGTATCCAAAAACTACACTGGCATATGACTCACACTTCAGCTCTTAGAAGATAGCTTTTCCTTGGCCTTCTGAATCTTCAAAACCTTCTTCACAATCTTTTGCTCTTCCACCAAGAAAGCTCTGATGATCCTATGAAACCAAATGAGAAAAAATGTCACAAACCTAAAGAGAGAAACAAAGAACAAGGAAACTGTAGTAAATGTAAGAGAGGAAAAAAAAACTACCTTTCTCTTACAGCACCTCCAGACAAAACTCCACCATAAGCACGGTTCACAGTCCTCCTATTTCTTGATAATCTAGACCTCTTGTACTCAGCAGGTCTCAAGTGAGGAATCTGCAAAAACATTGCAACTCATTCGACAATTTTACCAACAAAAAACTAGATTCGCCATTATTACAGTGAGGATTATGTTCTTAGTCAGAATCATGCAGAAAAGGTCCAAGTGTACTATCATTATCACAACAATTATAAGCCATATCAGGCTCTTTTACAGTTGCTTCAAGCCTTAGTCAATAACAAAACATTCTTAACACTATATATATATATATATATATATATATATAGCATTGGCATAATAAATTATTCAACAAAAAAAGCTAGTTAACATTTAAACGATAGAAGACAAGGAGTATCCAAGATTTAGTCTTTACTATTGACTGCTTTATATCAACTGATGACTTCCACAGAAGCCAACCCACCCCCACCCTCAAATAGCCAACAGTTTTTAGATACATTCCCTACTAATACAATGCGATACAAATCTCAACAACTCCCCAATAGAACAAATGGACATTAGATTTTGCATATCAAATTTTAAGCATGGACAACTCAAACCAAACCTGCTAAAATGATATATTTACTCCAGATATTATAATATATGCTTAATAACCATTCACCCCGACTGTAAGGTTTTTGCTCAACTTCAAAGTAACAAAATTGAATTGCAACTGATTAATGAGGTTAGTGATATTATAGATAAATGAAGACCACAACCCATATTTAATCGAAAACATTAGAGAAGCACATTATAGGTAATTCTTAAAGTCCACGTCCAAATGTCATTCTAGTACAGAAGTACTTGAAAGTGGAGAAGTTTCCATTTGTTCCTAGCTGCCCAAAATGTAGAAAAAAAATTATGTACGTGCTTAAAGCTATCAGAGTACAAAATGTTTAAGGTGCTAGCAAATAAATTGAGTATTTCTAAATCTTAGCCCTTGGTGGGGCTCAAACTTTACATGATTCCAATGAGCCCTGATACGACAGTAACAGTTCCATATATATTCCAATTAAATTACTAAAGCAAAGGAAGTTATCAATTGACAAAAACCGGAAAGAATCAATACACGAAAGCAATTCAGCTAGATACAAACTTAATACACTAGATTAGGCATAATTTCGCAACATAATCACAAAAGAAATGACATTTTCATTTCATTCAACTGTAAGCACACGAGGAACCTAGAAAAATGATCTTACCCCTTGGATTCTCTTTCCAGTAACAGGGCACTTTGGGCCGCTAGCCCTCTTCTTCGTGCTCTGGTACACTAACTTCCCTCCTATATCACTCGCACATAAACCACCCATTAATTAACGCATACAAAAAAAAAAACCCATGGATAAAACGCGGATATGAAAATAACCACAAAAAAATAACAATCAGGTTTACGTTTTCCAAATCCAACACATTGTACGCAAATATAGGGGTTTTTACCGGGTGTTTTGACGATCCGGTGTTGATTGGATTTAGTGGCATAGCTATGCCGCTTCCTATATGTGAGGCGTTGCACCATTTTCCTCCTTATTCGGTCCTCGGGTTCAGGTCTTCACTCGGCGCTTTAGGGTTATTGAGGCAAAGAAGGTCTTTTAAAGATGGAGAGGGAACTTCATTTAAGTGGGAGTGTAATGATTGTTAACCTAAATCGTACGGTTGATATATTCCATATCCTTCTTTACTTGGGGATATACGGCTGTGATTCGGCAGTTGCTTTCTATTTTTATTTTTGAATAATGCATTTTTCAATTCTGCATTAAGTTAGTGGATCGTTTTTGGTCAAGAGCCCATATATAAACTGAGATAGTAATGGGCTTGAAGCAGATGTAGCCCAATAATCGAAGATTTTGAATTAATTCTAAGTGGAAATTACACCCTTGCCTACTTTTCAAGATCAATTTTCTAAAATCATAGTGAAGGTTTAAGTGTTCAAAAATCAGATATTTTGAATATTAAATATAATCATACAAATTTAATTAACACTAATTTATTTTCATTTTCTTTCTCTACATCCCACCCCTTTCATTCTCTCTGCTCTCCTCAATTCAACCAGCCGGCAACTGTCGTCGGAATCAAATCAAATAGCCGACACCACATCACAAGAACCTGTCATCGCCAAACAAGCAACCGATGGTCGGAATAGTGCGGCTCGCCTAATTGACTATTTTGCTGCTAATGATTGCTGTGGGGAGAGGACCAACGCCGCTCCACCACCTATCCCATCTTCTCTCTTGATAGTGAAGGGAATCGGCGCCGTAACTGCAAGATCGGCACACTTGATCGTTCGTCGCTCACTTGCAGCGACATTGACTACGAGATCGGCATAGGTATAGGTGCAGTGACAGTAGTTTGTGGTCTTGGGTTGAGCTCTTTGGTAATGTTGGTGGTGGCGATTATCAATATTTTATTTTTTAATTTTTTGTTGGTGGTGTTGTTTGTTGTGGTTGTGCAGCGATGTGGTGGTATTGTGTGTGCGCCGTGGGCTGTGGGAGCGGTGGTTTCCGTGTTGACTGTTGTGTAAGGTGTAGTGGTTGGGTCTTTTGGTACACGATGTAGTGCTGTTGGCCGTGATGTTGATGGTAGTGGCGTTTGGGCTTGGTGGTTACTGCAGTTGCAAAAATGGTGACGGTTTTGTATTTTTTTACAGTGGTTGTATGATTGTTTTCTGTTAACATAGTGGTGGTTTGCATTGTAGATCGTGGATCTGTTGTGGATTTGTGGTGTTGGTGTGTGGCGGTGATGGTGGTGGCGATGATTTGGGGCTACAAATCTCTTTTTTTACGGTGGGGGGTCGTGGCAGTGGTGATAATGAGATGTTGGTGGTTGGAGGTCGTGGTGGCAACGGCAGCGAGGTAGAGGTGCTGTTGGCGTTCAGAGAATTGATGATGACGTTGATGGTGGTCGTGGTTGTAGGGCGATAGAGGAAGTGGTGCTGGCTACTGCAGCCAACGATATTGGCTGTGCTGATAATTGTGATTGTGATCGTGACTCCCAATTGTGACTTGACATTGAATATGTGACCGTGACTCTAAATTGATTAAATTGTGACATATAAAATTTGTGTTTGTGACTTAAAATTTATTGAGTTGTGATCGAAAAATTAATCAGTGACCTCTAAAAATTTTTATTTGTGATCGAAAAATAATATGTGACCTATAAAATTTGTGTTTGTGACTTATAATTTATTGAGTTATGATCGAAAAATTAATCTGTGACATATATAAAATTTGTGTTTGTGACTTATAATTTATTGAGTTGTGATCGAAAAATTAATCTGTGACCTATAAAATTTTTGATTTGTGATTGAAAAATAATATGTGACCTATAAAATTTGTGTTTGTGACTTATAATTTATTGAGTTGTGATCAAAAAATTAATCTGTGACCTATAAAATTTTTGATTCGTGATCGAAAAATAATATGTGACCTATAAAATTTGTGTTTGTGACTTATAATTTATTGAGTTGTGATCGAAAAATTAATCTGTGACCTATAAAATTTTTGATTCGTGATCGAAAAATAATATGTGACCTATAAAATTTGTGTTTGTGACTTATAATTTATTAAGTTGTGACCGAAAAATTAATATGTGACCTATAAAATTTTTGATTCGTGATCGAAAAATAATATGTGACCTATAAAATTTTTAATTTGTGACCGAAAAATAAGTTATGACCAATAATATGATACGTCGTGACTAAAAATTAATCCGTGACTAATTATTTTTGGATTTGTGACCAATAAACAAACTGTGACTTACAAAATTTTTGAAATGTGGTCGTAAAAAAATTTGTGACATAAAATTTTTGATTTGTGACCAAAAAATAATAAGTAACTAATTATATTGTTAATTTGTGACCAAATTGTATAGATCTGTGACCTAAATATATTTAATTAATAAAATAATTAATTATCTAATTAAATTATAAATAATTTTTAATAAAAATCTGATTTTAGAAATTTGAAACTTATTTTCTTATTTTTGAAATGTGCCATAATTAATTTCTTAGTTATGAAATTTTCCGTAATTCTAATAATTAAAATTTTAAAAAACACTAGTAGTAAACATGTATGTTGCACATCTCATGTACGAAATGAATGACGTGCATAATATTTTTAAAGTAAGGTAATTGATAATGTTAAAAGAAAAAGTAAAATTGTTGGATAATATACATATAAATAAAAGTTTTTTAAAATTATGTATTAAAAAGTGAAAATGTTAAATAAAGTGAAATATAATTATTTGTTTATATTAGACTTTGGTTGGACCCAATTTTCAACCATTACAACGACATCAACCAATTTTATGGTACAGACAAGCACAAAGAAAAATCGAATTAAAAGATGTACATTTGATTAAGTTTAAAATATTTACGTATAAGTAAACTAAAGGAACTTAAATAATTTTCAAATTAAAAATTACTTATTTTGTCTGTATCATAAATTTTTTTTACCTAAAAAACAAAGAAGTATCTTATCAAAACATATTTAGAAACAAAAACTTACATATTAAGGATAATTGGCACAAAACGTCCCTACCTTTCAGCTTCATTGTGGAAAACGTCTCCATCTTTCATTTTTTGGCATTTTTGCCCTCAAATCAACCTTTTGTTGCGATGAAAGTCCTTCCGTCCAAGTTTCATCCATTTTGCCGTTAATTAAAGAGAGAGAGAGAACAATTTTTGTCAAGTCAACAGGGGTAAAATCGTCTTACCCATTGAACTCCTTATCCCCGCCTTCTATGTAGTCCATATATATAATAGTAGCTGGAAAATGGGTGTGAAAATACTTTAAATTATTACATTAAATAAGGGGAAAAATGTCGTTAATTAAAGAGCATATATAGTGGTGAAATCCGACCATCACTGCTGCTTTTATGTTGGATTTTAAGAAAAATGTAATAAGATATATATTGAATGGGTGGTCAATTTGTAGAGATGACTACTAGATGTTTATTTCTAGTTTATGCTTATTGTGACCATAAGGTAAATTGAGGAGATCAAGTGAAAATGGGTGCTGTGAAGTATGTATCGGTTTTATGTATCAGTTTAATGGTGAATGGCCCATTTTGGCTTATTGGTGAAGATGAACGGGTCCTGTTCACTTCTTCTGGGAGTCGAATGAACATTGCGCTAATAATCCCTACGTAGTTATAATTTTGGCTTAAAACATCCCTACCTATAAAAAGTTTGGCAAGTAAAGTCCCTACCTTTTAGAAATATTTGATAATAACGTCCCTACCTTTTAGAAATATTTGCGAATAATGTCCCTAACTTTTAGAAAAAAATTGGCAAGAGAATTCCCTATTTTCTTCTATATACCACCTGTTGATACACACTAACTCAAAAGTCCCTAAATACACAATTCTATCACAGAATTTGAGACACAATTCATCCACCAATCAATCAAAAACCAAAACAAAAATATCCACTACCTGCTGAAGCAAAAATAATCAAAAACTGAAGCAAAATAGATGCAATTCATTTCAAATGTAATCCCAATTTTATTTTTCTTTGTCTACTCACTTATTTCTTGAACTATGCGACCACTTATCACTCTACAAGGCAGCTTTCACCAAGAAACCTTCCATTCTCACTCTCTTCTCTCTAAAATTCAATCATTTTTCTATATGTACCTCGAATATAATAGCTTTCGTTACAAAGTTTTGAAGATCATGTTTTGAAGAGGTTCGTGTAAGTTCTTTTGAAATTAAAAGCGGTTTTATTTGGTTCTCGGAATAATTTAGAGTGTGGATTAGCTTGATACTAATATTTAGTGTATTTTTTGTTGTTGATAAAGAACTGAAACAACAGAGAGATTTGAGGGGAAAATGGAGCAATAATTGTTGAAATGGAAGATAAATGAGAATTTTTGAAGAATTGAGAGAGAGTGGAATGGGAACCGTTTGGGCTGTTAAGTGTGAAGAAGAAAATTAAGAAAATGAGGGTTTTCAATTGGTGAGACAGTTTTACCCCTGCTGAGTAAAAAAAAAAAAATTGGTTCTCTCTCTTTAATTAATGGCAAAATGGATGGAACTTGGACGGAAAGACGTTCATCGCAACAAAAGGTTAATTTGAGGGCAAAAATGTCAAAAAATAAAAGGTGGGGACGTTTTTCACAATTAAGCTGAAAGGTAGGGACGTTTTGCGCCAATTAACCTACATATTAATCATGCTCGTCATATTAATTCATAGCATTTATTTTAAATTAGAAACCAAAGTTACATTCAAAATAGATGTTGAAGTGAAAAATCTTAAACAAAAGTTTTGTTTTTCTTTTGAATGGGATTAGTACAAACAGAGGGGTAAAAATTCTCCCTATAAATGTACAGAGATAAAAATCCTTTTTTTTTTATATGACTATCGGTGTCCGAGCCAGCTTACGCCCACCTCGACCAATCCCACGAAAACCTGAAATTTACAGTCGGATACTCACCTCAATGTCCCTAAAGAGACTCGAACTGATGACCATTGCAGAGCAAACCCATGACCTGACCACTGAGTTGTCCTTCAGGGTTACCGAGATAAAAATCTTTATCTCTTCTTAATATATTTATATCTAAAAGGTAACAAGATTATCATAAATTTTTATACTTAT